CTTGGGTGTTATTGCAAGTTACCTAAGATAACTTTTTTAAATTTTACCTGAACTTTGTTAAATTAAACAAGTTTCTTGGGTGCTATTGCAAGTAACCTAAGATAACTTTTTTAAATTTTACATGAACTTTGTTGAATTAAACAAGTTTCTTAGGGCGTTTACACGTTACCTAAGCCAACATCGAATATTTTCTTAAATTAACAAGGTACCCAAGTTACCCTTGTTAAGTTTTGTAAACACTTCGTTGAATTACACTATCTTAGGTGCTCACACATAGTACATAAGATAACTTTGATATATTACCTAATCTTTGTTTCTGCTGATCGAGTGTAAACTGTATAAAAACCTTGTTGATTTACACATAGTTTTCGAAGTCCATATAAAAAAAAAAATACCTAAGATAACTTAGTTAAAACAACCTCGTTTTTTGGCAGCCAAAGTGCTTAGGTAATAAATTAACTAAATTTTGTTTTGCATGGTCGAGTATAAATTGCATAAGAACTTTGATGGATCGCACAAGTTTCTTGGGCCCCATACAAAATTGTTCAACTAAGTCAACTTTGTTCAAATTACTTATGTTTTTTCTCTGTGTGTAGCACTGCACTTTCTTTTGTTGTTTACATTTGCACATAATTAGCCTGTTCCCGTACTTCACGATTTGCAGGATTTGCAGGTTTTACCGGAACAGCTGTTTTTGCCTTTAATAAGCCTTATGTGAACGTGGCCTACGGGAACGACTTTGGACTAAATCCTGCAAAACCTGCAAATCGTAGACGTTCTGGAACGCACTAAATAAGCCTGTTCCAGGTACTTCACGCTTCGCAGGTTTTTTAGAGGAAGCTGTTTCTGTACGCCATAAGGTTTATTAATTGCAAAAACAGCTTTTCTTGTGAAATGTGCAAATCGGGAAGCACCAGGAACATGATTAATGTAGGCAGTTGCAGCAGAAGCAACGTTTATTCGTCGCATGAAAACTTACCGAATAATGTATGCAGCGCTGTTTGTTGGTGGCGGCGTTGAAGGTGGTGGATATGCTGGTGTGGTGCCTGACTGGAGGTGGCGTTGATGTTCCGTGGTAGCAGGGTCGAAGATAAATTTAGAATGAAAAATCGCAAATCTGTAAATGCAAAATTATCAATTAAAATATACAAATATTTGAATAATTCTAATACATACCTTAATTATATGATTAAATCGCAGTGTTTCGGCAATCTAAAAGAAAAAAATTCCATTATAAACAATGCAAATTGTTAAAACGTTCTCTTACCTTCAAATGTTTTTGCAAAATTAACGCTTTTATTTACAGCCTGCTGTGATCAAAGATGTCAAACTTTTGCTAAAGTCACAGCCTACCGTGATCAAAGCTGTCAAATTTTGCTTCATTTCCACTTACTCGCTCTAACGCATAAAATTCTTATTACAGTAAAAATTTTGATTAGGTCCGGTGCTCTCACTCAGAATTTTGTTTTGACAGTCGGAAAAATAAATTTGTAAATGTGTGGGTAGCATAGCTAAAAAGTTGCGAGTGTGTGTGTAAATCTGTTGAATTTCAGGGGCAACTGGTTAGCTGTGGCTTGCAGGGAATTTTAGCTTGCACTGAGTTTCCAATGAAATGAAAGAAATAAAAATGTACAAAATACTGAATATAAGTATTGTTTTTTGTTTTTATATAAAGAAAACGTATGTTCGTACGCCCACTTCCCATATAACGGTAATTTCCAGAAATACGAAAACTGCGATATT